TTTTTTTTTTTTTCGCTTTAGTGCAACCCTATCTTAAAAACATTAGATCGACCTCCGCTATCGTTTGTCGATATGACAAATAGAAATGAGTTTTAAGAAAAATGGCATTCTTCTGCTACAAACCGAGGGTGCATGTACTCTCTCAACCTATCAGCTGGAGTATGGCCGCCATGTTGGGCAACTCCGCCGTCGCCGTCACCGTCGTCGTCGTCGTCGTGCGTAGCGCCCACGAGCAATACCGCTAGCCATGAAAACCATGAGAAAATCAACTCATGGGTTTCCTTTTCTTTCCTGTATGAGTATGGGGCTACGCTTAGCGGCCCTTCGGGCCGCCGGAGCTCCGCTATTAATGACATATATACCATTCTCTTTTGAAAAGACTATATCTGATCCCTTTGTCCTAGCAAACGGCGCAAAATTAAATTCAATTTTACATGCAAGACGATTTAGTCATATTGTCAAGATCAAAAATAGGACTGCAAAATTACCTTAACACTCTATCATCTTATTGCAGTACATGGGTGTTAAGTATAAATCCAAAAAAATACCAAAGTTATGATCTTTCAAAAACGTGCTAAGAAATGTATAGAGTCTAATTTTGATATCGACAATGAGCCTGTTGAAATTGTTCAAAATTATACTTATTTGGGAACACTCATTTCTTCGGCGGGTAACTTTTCATTGGCACTTGATAAATTGAAAGAAAAGGCCCTTCATGCCATTTTCAGTCTTAGAAAACACATAAATTTCAGCAAACTACCTCCATTCCTAGCGAATAAAATTTTGGACGCAATGATCTCCCCAATTTTGACATATAACAGTGAACTGGGGTACATATGCAAAATCTGATCTCAAGTCTTGGGACAGTTCCCAGATCGAAAAAAGCACATCTCCAATTCTGTAAACGCTATTTAGAGGTAAGCAATAAGGCATCCAATGTAGCATGTAGAGCTGAACTTGGTAGGTTTCCTCTCATTATAGCTTTCAATCAGAAAATCATGAATTACTCATATCTTCTAAGTAAGGATAATTGCTCTAAACAAATCTTTCTCATGTCGCAAGATCTTCATCACGCTGGTAAATATAGTTATTATTCTAATATTATAAGTATATGTCTGAATATTATGATTTCCCTTGTTTTGATCTTACGTACTTAACTAACGCTAATTAACAAATAAAGAAGCCTCGACTGTGCTCTGTTCTGTTGTAAAGCACGCAGGAAGCGGTAGAGCA